CTATTTTTATTTCTCTCTTATTTACTCAAAATTTCAATACCTAATATCTATATGGGGAAGTACCAATATATCACGTTTGAGTCCACTGAAAGGATATTACTAAATGAAACATTGAAGTGTATTTTCAATTTAAATTTTCTAGAACCAACCATGAATTTATACTAACCTAGAGATTTACTAGATCTGATATCACTATACAAACTTATAAAGTATGTTGATTTATTCAATTTGCTTCAGAGACTTTGATTACCAGCAATGTGCTCCCGAACTAACACATGTTCTCTGCAAGTTGTTCAACTACTCTTACAAATTGGGGATATTCCCGTTCAACTGGAAAATTGCAAGAGTACAACCAGTTCCCAAAAAAGGCAAAAAGACCCTACCTAGCATCTACAGACCGATCGCACTGCTATCTATTATCTCAAAGATCATGGAGAAAGCAATCAACATCGAGCTCATGAAATACCTGGAACATTCAGGTATTTTCAACGATAGGCAATATGGCTTCCGTCAGAGATCAACTGGTGACCTGCTCGCTCACGTCTCACATATATGACAGCAATCTATTGAAAAATATGATGAAACCTTAGCCGTGGTACTTGATATCTTCAAGGCATTCGATAGAGTCTGGCACCACGGACTCCTCGCCAAGTTTCCATCTTATGGCTTGCCTCCCCAGCTTTGTTCTCTGCTAGCTAGTTTCTCTCAAACATCGCTCTCTATGTAGTGGTCGACGGAGTTTCATCCGACTCTCTTATCATAAATGCTGGTGTACCGCAAGGATCAATTCTAGCACCAACAATATTTATACTCCATACCAACGATTTGTTGGAAGCAACTTCATGTCCAGTACACAGCTTCGCGAATGATAGTAGCCTCCATACCGCTTTCTCTTTCAGGGCTCCAATACCAGCCAGGCAGATCAGAAACGAACGATGGAGGAATTTTGACAACATAAATATGGACTTGACAACAATTCTCGAATGAGGATACAATAACTTGGTAGATTTCAATGCGAACAAAGCACGAGCATTCCTTATCTCTAGAAAAGATCTCACTGTGCCCAACATAAGCTTGTCAAGAGTAACCATACCTTTGAAGACATCCATTTCGATGCTTGGTATTACTATCGGCAATAACCTTTCATTGGAAAATCACGTAAGATCAATTGCTAAAAGTTGTTCCTTCCTTGGCAGTCCCCGCGAGATTAACCCGTCAAGTTGAGGCTTCGCACCCCCTAGTGGTCACTTTGGAGGCCTACAGAACATCTCTTTCCAAAGACTCGTTCATCCAACGAACAACGAGGCTCTGGAACACATTGCCAAGGGAGGTGTTTCCCGAGGCATATAACCTCCAGAAATTACATCATGTATATTGTATATGTTTCCTTATTATAAACAACTATGTTTCTTGGGGTAATAACCCATTTACGCCTACCGTCCTTTTAAAAGGACTTCAAAACGAAACCTGTATTTTTCTGATTCAGCTGATGGTTTGAAGATGTCGCCAGTGTCACATTATATTTTGTTTACATCTTAAACAAGGTCGATCGCGATCGTTAGGATTTTGTTAAGTTTTGGATCGATCGTGACGGTTTTTCAATCATGACCCAGAATCACAGCCTTGATGAGGCTATGATACCGTATTTTTGGCCCATCATACTAATTAGTTTCTGAAAGTTTCAAGTATTTTGCTGAGCATTTTATATGATATAATATAAACATACTATTAAATATTTGATTAGTTTTCTAATAGTAGAGCCCTTCATCCTACCGCCCTTTCAAAGGGACAGCTGTTTTTTTCAAAACTGGAGATCGAAAATTTTTTATAATTTTTTCTCGACTTATTGGACCTTCTATCAACCGCTTTTGAGAAAAAAATATACAAAATCGGAAAAAGTAGTTTCAGGGCCAAATGGGATAAAGACAATCAATCAATATTAATATGGAACCGGTCTCGTTCATACACAATTTTTATATGGTCGTCTATGTCCACGTACGCCAATGGCCTTTAACGGCCAACGTTGATCGATAAATCGTCATCAATCCAATGATCGCAGCAATTGCCAGTGGAATTCCGAACAAACGGCGTTTCTAACGTCCCTCTTACACTCAAAGAAATTTACCAGGATATACAACAGGAATTCGGCTATTTCTACAGGAAATTCCCCCTATATAAGCGACAGCAGGAATATTTGTTAATTGTACGTGACAATTCCGGTCTATCAATTCCTTTAGAAATAACAAGTTTTAGATCCGTTAGTGCAACCAAACTGCAGTTTGTTATTTCAACAGGAAAATGATAATGTAACGAGTACCGGAATTTGCTTTGTTATTTACAGAATCGCTACATTGATTCAACTGGAACTTTCCAGTTATTTTGAAGAACTACCTCAGTTTTACCGGAGCTGTGATTTCGATTTGACAGGAATTTCCTGTTTAATAATCAAACTAGATAATTGTATTCGTAGCTTCAAACTTCAATTTTTACAAGAATTTCCAGTTATCAACACTAAACTTAAACAGGAATTACTTCACTTATACCGGAACTTAAGTTTCGATTCAACAGGAATTTTCTGTTCAATTAAAGGACTTTCGTTCACACATTACAGTACTAGTTAGTTGTATTTGAAGTTTATTACCTGAGATTTTACAGGAATTTCCTGTAGTTACCTAGTATTCAACTGGAATTTCTAGTATTTCCTATTCAATTATCTGCATAGTTTTGACAGTAATTTCCATCTGAAGTTGACATTTTTTTCCATTGAATTTTACTGGAAGTTTCCTGTTAGTACTACCGTGGATTATTGTTGTAATTTAGGGTACTTCCTGTCAGTATTCAAGTGCTATTTCGTACTGTCTGTAGGTTAATCGAGGAGGTGGTACATTCATTATTCGAGATTTTTTCAGAATTTCCTCTCCTTGTTTCTTTAAAATAAAAATATGAATATTATTCCAATATACGTGTAGTTAGGACAAATCAGATGATTTGCCCCAAAATGTTACTGCGCTTAAAGAATTTTCCTATTAGAAAGCCTAAAAGAAAAATTCACAAGCTTGTCAGTGACAATTTGTATTGAAAAAAAATTTGAGAAGAGAAATAAAGGTATAAAGAAAAAATTCAAATTTTCACTTAGCTTTGGACGTTTCGGGAACGAATCTGCTACCGTTTTCAACATAAAAAATGGATAATATTTGTGTAGAAAATTCGTATTCGTCTTGACACTTCTCAGTTCTCAGTGACAATTGGTGACGTTGGCAATCAAATGATAGTTACAGTATGTTTTCATTAATTAATCTTGAATTTTCCATTTTCATTTTCAGATTTCAGTAGTGAATACCATGTTCTATGTATATCAACTGAGTGGAATAATATTAAAATCATTAGAAAAGAAGATAACCGTAAGAGAAGAATCAAGGAATCCGCTTGCATTCTTCTGAACGGAGTCAATATCATTGCTTCCTGTTCGGTTGATATTGATAGAACATGGTATTCACTACTGAAATCTGAAAATTGAAGTGATGAATTCAAGATTGATTGATGAAAACTTCCTGTAACTCATTTGATTTCCAACGTCACCAATTGTCACTGAGAACTGAGACGTGTCAAGACAAATACGAATTTGCTAGACGAATATTATCAATTTTTGATGGTGAAAACGGGAGCAGATTCGTTCCCGAAACTTCTAAAGCAAAGTGAAAATTTGATATTCTTTCTTCATACCTTCATTGCTCTTCTCCAAACATTTTTCAATACAAATTGTCAGTGACGAGCTGGTGAATTTTTTCTTTTAGGCTCTCTGATAGGAAAATTCTTCAAACGCAGTGATATTTTGGGGCAAATCATCTGATTTGTCCTTACTACTCATATATTGGAATAATATCCATTTCCTATTTCATAGAAACGAGGAGAAAATCCCAAAAAAATCTGGAATAACGAATGCAATTTTGTTATTTTTGTAACGCATTTCTGTCTGTGACTTCGCGAATATGTGTCTAAAATCGGGGAAGAATCATCATTCGTAATACCACTAGAGTTCAAATTATTTTGAGAAATATTCATGACCAAGAAAAATTCCCAGAAAGTAATTTGACCTCGTGTGGTATTCGGTAAGAACATTTCACACCAGATTTAAGCCTATGAATTGAGTTTCTGCGTTTTAATTGAAAACCAGTATTGTCAAGAAATATATCATGGTCATTAACGAAACGTGAATAAAAAATCCGATTTTATACGCTGGTGGGTACCCACGAGAAAAAAATGTCCACCATAATACATACATTGCTATGGTAATTTGTCATAAAAACCCAATTTGAGTGTATGAAAATCACTGATGGTGTGGAATTTTCCATATAATATTCATTATAGAATATCTCAACATCATTCGAACAAATTAGATACATTCGTTGAGAGACTAAATAATAAATATGGAAAAAAAATTCCCTGATCTGAATACATATTAGCGAATTTCATTACGGAATTACTGTCTAGCAATACACTTACAGTCTAACAGTCTCACAGTTTGTTCTAGGGAAAGTCAGCCACTTATTAAATTTATTTTCCAAATAACACCGAACTTTATATATTCATATATATACCTACAGCTGTGAAAAAGGGCACTTACGGTTCGCTATTCTTTTTTTTATCTCTTGGAGCGCACGAAAGGAATAACAATATATTAAGTGGCTAATTACCTCTAGGGGTGCTCGTTATATTAAGACAGACCGTATATTTTTACAATCCCAAATCAGCAAATGAATACAAACAAAGGAATAACCCAGGTAGACAATTACAATAGAATATTATATGTAATATTTCCATAGTTCAATACACATTGAACAGAGTATTCACTCCTAATATAGGTTGGGTATAAAAATATGATATTCAAGATGTCCCAAGATAAAATTTGTTTATTGAAAAAACATTGAATAATTTGTTTAGAATGAATGTGATGAAAGAAAAACATAAAATAATGATTTCTGGCGTACACCGTAATTCCACTATTTTAACCACGATATTTGTGGCCAGAAGTCTGTCCCCCGATATTCTTTTCGTAGGGTTACCTTGCAGTTCTCTTCTCATAATAAGCTTGCACAAAGTGGATCGTCCCTGGAGAGACAGCCCCTAGTCTTTTCCTCGGCCAGCAATGCTTTACCATCATTTTCTTCGTTCCATAATTTGAGGAGAGCCTATATATAAAAAAAATGGTTAATAGTCCAATTTTATTGGTGTGAGCTTGTGGCGTTCTTCTACGACTGTGCGTTATTGCCTACTTCTCCGCACGCATTTTTGTTTGGGAAGTCTTGCCCGCACTAGTACCTAGTTGAACTGCTAGCAGTTATATAACGTTTATTCGAAACGTTTGTTAAACCCTTGGAATGATCGTTTTTTCAACGCCATTCTTTCAACAGAAATCAACTGCTGGTCAAGAAATCAACGTGTTGAAAATGTTTTTCAACAACGTTTCTCCACCGTTATTTGCCAACGTTCAATAAATGTTGTTATCAAACTATTTTTCACATATTTGGATGATGAACAATGGAGTTATTATTGATGATCAAAATTCAGTATCCGGAATATCATATTCATAGATATAAAGCGAAAATTCATGAAGCGGTATTTTGGTCAAATTCGATCATCAACAACTCAACTATTTTTCATCCAAATATGCGACTCATATATATTCTTGGAATCAGAAAAAAAGGCTCTATCGACATCTCGGAAGAGATATAGGGTGTTCCATTGAAAAAATCAAAATTAATGTCCTTTCCGGAAAAACGAATGACAAAATGAGAGTTTGAGTCGTTTCAAACAACGCTTCATTCAAAATTTGTTCACATCTCTGAAAACAAATGAGTTAAGTGGGTTCCATTTTAAGAGGCGCACCCTGTACATATAAGTACATTTTCAAAAGACTATTATTTCCTTTTAAGGTGGAAAAAAATATGTTCCTAACTCATACGGAAAGTTTTTTCCCGCACTCGGATGCTTGCCACTTTTTATACTTGTAGAGAAATTACTATTTTCAATCAACAATAATTATCATGGACCCACTTACATTTCTCGCGTCTTGATGAGAAGAGTCGTGGTGCATGAGTTCCGAGGTGCGTTCATCAGTGTTTTCCATACTTTTGGATGGTTTCATGTTCGGTGATGGTAAATATGTAGCTCTGTGCCCTATAGAGGAAATAAGCTCTTTCACCATATTATCATCTTTGAGAAATGGAAGGCTGTGCAGGGTAACATTGTTTGCTATAACAAGCAATAGAAACAGGTTTGAATGATACATTTATGAAAATGTTGCTATCTCTTAAACAGAGTTACATATATAGGGTAGGTTAAATGTAGGAAAACTTACTTCTGAATGTTTCGATATAATTGGCCAAATCCCATCCTCTTAAATAGCCGGCGACATCATCATCGCTGGCGGCTACTACCATCGAATCAGTCGGTTCACCAATCAATGTATATTTTCTATCTTCTCCATCTTGGCTTTGATTTAAGTTCAAGACAATGGCGGCTGGATCATATATATAGTCAGAATTAGCGGCACTTGAGGTCGACATAATAATTTTTTTAAGTCACGCAGTAATTCACAATCACAACCACAGCACTCGCACAGAAAAATGGCGTATTCCACATATTATACGTATCGAAGAACCAACGCGAATGACCGCGTTGGCGTGTACTTCCCAGAGTAGCGGATTGAATTGTGAGATTCACAGGAATTCTGTTGGAATCAACGTTTTGAGCTGTGAGAACGGTGGCGTGGATCGTAGAGATGACAGGAATATATATTATATGGATTGAAATACTGTTAGCCTAACAATATTTATTCCTGTAGAATCATCTGAATTTCTGTAAGAAATACCATACATTCCTGTTGAATTTGATGTGTCCATACTGTGATAGTTATAAAATCATTATATTTCACTAGATATTCCTGTAACATTCATGGAATTTTATTCCGGTTAGAATTATGGTTCCGACCTACGTATGTTTTACAGTCATGACTCGTAAATATAGATGAATATAATTTTACATACACAGGAAATATTCCTTATAAATTAAAAGTACCTTATAACTGCTATACTTACCGGTTTTCCTGTTCATACGACCCAAGTCACTTCAACCGGAATCGGCATGTTTTATTGCAAGTACAGATTGTTCTCAGAACGGTTTTCATTTGTTTTTATAACAATAGTTTCGTTCAGACAACAGGAATTCATTCAACCGGAAATTCCTGGGATTCGTTTTTTTCAGTGTAGGTGTTTACTGGCACTGCCAACTCGATTTTGCACCTGAGACCAGAGACACCTTCCAACGGTTAAGTACAGCGAAAATTTATGGAACTTGACAGAGAATTGGCTGGGATCCTTTACCTTAGGGCGATTTTGCTCGTATATACAGGGTGAGTCATGAGGAACTGTACATGGTAGAGGCCCTTGAGGGGAATACCAAATGACCATCAGAAAGTGTCTTCTTCCCCTCTTTATCGATATATACGGTGATTTATGAGATTTGGAAAAATCATCTTTCGGGCATAACTTTTCAACAGCTCCTTCGATTTATCTGTTTTTTTTTCATGAATATTCCTCTACTAAACCCTAATCGACTGACATTTCCAGAAATCGGAAAATTCAGGGCCATATTTGAAAAATTTTAATAGTTCAGTTTTTATCAAAAATTTCATCCTGTGTATGGTTTTTGTAAGCTGTGACAGGGAATTTTCAAAGCACACAAACAAGCATCAAAAATATTCAAAATTTCCCTCACACTTTCACATAATATTTCAAAAAACTTAATACCCTATATTTCATTGCATTTTTGGATTCTCCATTAAGATCTGATTTCATCGATACATCACACTTGGGGTCTATCCAAAATGATTAGAGAGATATTGGGTGTTCAAAATCGAGGTTTTTCAACTTTAGGATTTGTTTCTGTCGAAACTATGCATTATCTGCCAAAACGGCTCACATGTCCCTATCTCAACTTTTGATTTACCATTTACCTACTGATATTTAATCGGAACAGATACAGGGTGATCAGAATTCTGAATCTTGAACCACCCTGTATCTGTTCCGATTAAATATCAGTAAATAGTGAATCAAAAGTTGAAATAGGGACATGTGAGCCGTTCTGACCGATAATGAATAGTTTCGACCCAAAAAAAATCCTTAAGTTGAAGAATCTCGATTTGGAACACCCTATATCTCTGTATTTGTTTTTGATAGACCCCAAGTGTGATGCATTGATGAAATCAGCTCTTCAGGGAGATTCTAAAAATGCGATGAAATACAGGGTGTTCTATTTAAAATAACAATGTTGCTACTACTTTCTAATAGAAGCGGCAACACTGCATTGTCGAAAATATTTTAAATGAAGAGAGCGTATTTTGAAATACAAGCATGCACATTTTCATGGATTTCTCCCGACCGATTCTCGATATAAAGATAGTGTAAGCTTGTCGTGACATATACCCTGTATATGGAGTCCATAATGTGCATCATCCCTATATGTTTCATTTCTTCCTGCACCCTCCAATAATATTTTATTATTCGACTCGAAATGAAGTTCTAGCGAAGCGTACGAGCATGTCTTTCTCTGTAGGAGGACTGACTATACGGGGTAATAATATATATCAATTCCTTGCATCCCATCACTAATGTTACATTACGTTTTAACAGATAATAGCACTCACATACGCTGTCTACGTTCTATGAGACAGCAGAGTTGATTTATTGACATGGATTTGTCGAGCTTTGTGTTGTGTGAATGTTTGATTCGGGGATTCGACTCAAGCTATTAATTTTTTGAGAACGAACAAATTGAATTGATTCAATGTTCGTATTTTCCTCAAACTATCAAAATTCAACAGTTTTGTAATAATGAAAATAGCATAAATTTTTTTTCCAGGCTGGAGGATTGACTTTTCTAATCCCGAAATATGTCCCTGAGTATGTCATTGAATTTTGTGGAATGTCGAATAGGGTTCGTTGAGGAGCTAGGACGTTGAAAAGCATCAGGGTAGTATACTCATACGGAGTGTTTCTACTATAGGATTGTAACCGAGAAAATGTATCAGACGATAGAACTAGTGAAAATGAACAGAAAAGTTCAAAGAAGGTGTTGAAGTTTTATGAAAAAAATAGTTTTGTTCACAGCTCGGAGACTATTCCACTGATTTCCTTTGAACTTGGCAAAATTGTTTGTGATATGAAAAATTTGTTGTAATTATTCCAGTGGCGCCCCAGTAGGTTACTTGAATAATTTTCATGAGGAAAAATGCTCTATAGAAGATACAACTTTCTTGTTCCACAAGTCGTATCTTCCTTGGATTTCAAGGAAAAAATTAAGATTTGATAAGAATCCAAATTCCAATGTAGTTTTATTCAAGACACTCATAGAGATCACTCGATTGCCATGATAATATTAAGATTTAGAGACTGAAAATTTTTCAGGACCTACCACACTGAATGGAGAAAGAGGAATGATATTTCTATATAACAACCTGTATCTGAAAAAGAAAGCTCCAAAGCAGACAAGTTTATATAGACCTTTTTATTTCTTTATTTCTGGAAGTACTATATTGCACATTAACACACCCTGTAGATATCTCAGTAAGGTTCCGTCGAAAATGCTTTCAATTTAGACCATTTTCTATTCTTTTCATTACCTTTGTCAATTGTTTATTATCATAAATGAAAATATGTACACAGTGCAGTCAATTGATGAGGATTCATATAGGTATAACGAATTTTATTACAAGAATTCTTGGTAATTTTCATTATTCAAATCCGATTTTCGGTTAATGGTTGTGATGAATGAGAAACTACAGAAATGATGAAATAGTCAGAATCAATGGAATGAACGATTGGAATAACTAGAATTGAAGATTATTATTTTATAAAATGTAAATCAATCGAATTTAGCTCCCTCACTAGCCAATCTCTCGAAATTCAAAATTTGATTTTTGCGTTGGAATTCTGTATATAAGGTCAAATTCGATTTCTAAGCAACTTATCCAAATAACTTATTTAGACATCTCCAAGGTGAAGCAAAATATTGAGAGTGTGCCATGAAAAAGTTCTTTGTAAAGTTTTTTCTACCTGTCAAGGCCAGAAAAGTAACAAACGTAGTAATGTGACTGAAATACAGGGGTGTCTTCAGGCATAAGTGTTTCACACTGTATATATATCCAGTGTGTGTCATTTCTAACGGCAGAACCCCTGTATCTAACATAATTGTTGACTCAAAATTCAAAGTTTTCGGGAGTAGGCGACCTAGTGCGAGGAGGTAATTATTGCTCTTCCCTACTAGCTACCTAAGTAGGTTCTCATCTAGAACGGCAATGGGTTGGAAAATCACTTTGGATTCGAAATCAAGAGGTCGAATTCTCTGACTATTCATATTTTCCTGGAAATTTTTCAGTCCTGCAAAGTTTGATTTCATCTCTTTTTTCCTGAAAGTACCCCCGTGATTTTCAAGCTATATTGCCTCCTAATATCATCTCCTCAAAATGTGGGTTATTCCATGACTGTTTGGCGAGAAGTGATCACTGAAGATGTCCCCACTTGATCATAGTATGTATTTTTGGTATATATTTCGCTCCTGCAAAGGTCAGGATCCTAACTCAACAATATCGTAATAAAATAAATAAACAAGGATGCTTCCATTTAGAAGTGTGACACACTGTATGTATACCGGGTGTCACAGGAGACATGTAACAGCCTGTAGTTTTTTTATTTGGAAAAATGAAAATTTGAAACTCACAAGGGTTATATTATCGATGATGGCGCTTCCCTTGAACCCAATGACAATTTTCTTCAACCACCTCTTTGATCGGAAGTAGACCCAACTTTCTTTTTCGAATTATTGAACGAATATCAAATTGTAATACATAGTTGAATAGAGAATTTCAAGGCGAATAAGAGTACAGAAATATAGGTGGTGCCATTTGGAAAAAAAGTTGGGTCTTCTTCCAATCAAACAGGTGGTTGAAAAAAATGGTCATTGGGGTCAAAGAATAAAGCGCCATCATCGATGATATAGCCTTTGTGGATTTCAAATTTGTGTCTACTGTGCCACCTGGTATATGTTATCTTCTACCAGCACAACTTGTTCGTTATTGATCGACCTACTCATGATACATTTTTTATGTATTTGGCCCATCACCAGAGTGTTGGCAGACTGCACAGTATACACTCCCCAACAACAATAAAACACACGATGGACCCGTTTCCATCACTCTGATTAAACGAACAAGCCGAAAGTATAAGTGTCCGTGCCAGAGTGCATTCTAGTGAAAATTCAATTTATGTTAGAAATTCTGCAATTCCTGCATTCACGCTCCATCTGCCTGATTCGGCCAGACCAAACGATTGTTGCTTTCGATTGGTGAGACCTATATTTGAACTATCGTTTGGGCCACAGCGCCCGGTCAGTATCTATCATGTAGGGAATTACTGTATTTCGGCGATTGGTCACTTGCGGGTGACATTCGCGACTCGTTTGTTTCTCTCATCGATCACGGCCTTCCAGACCAAGATTGTCCTCCAACGTC